ACTACTCTGTAGGTGTCCCCTCCCTCTTGCCATCCTCACCCTGGTATATGCCCCTCTCACCTTTCACACTGCATTAACCCAATTCAGTTTTGATTTTAACTCTTTCTTATTTCCAGTGACAAAGCTTTTCCTTCCCCTCTATCTCAATTCTGTCACCCAACTTGTCCTCCTGATATTTTGGGTCTCTCTAGTACCAACTCACCAAGCACAACTCCTACAACCAAACTCTATGCACATAGTTCAAGTCCAATCCAATCCCTGCTGATTTTTCCAGTCTTTTAACCTGGCCATCCCATAGCCAATGCCTGTGCCACCTAAGACCTATTGTCACCTATCTCAGTCACACTGTTCATTTTATACTGCCCCCTGCAGCTCTCAACTCACCCAATTCTGCTCACAAGCGGCCTCCACTGTTTTTCAGTAAGTTAATGACCCAAAACTCCAACACACTGCAGCAAGGAGTGCAAAGAACTCCTGTCTGTCTTTTCTGCCCCCGGTGCTTACAGTACTCGCTCACCGAAGTTACTCTGCATCTTCCACTAGGGGGTACCACCCCATAATTTTTGAAACAGGAAGTCTGCTGAACACAGTTCTTAATGAAAAATGAAGTCCAGGCACAGTGGATATTTTTCAAACTTTTCTGAACACATGCTGTAATTTTATGAAGCAATTTAATTTGATTCATTTTAAATAAAAGCTGCCCCATGGGCAGAGTAATAGGCAACAATCCTGAGCAGTATAAACTTATATAAGCGAACACCAATTAAAAACCCTTGGCTCTATTACGGTAAGATAAATAGTCATGAACTAAATGAAATAAATGCAAAAACTGAGTACAGCCAGACAAGTGAAGTTATTTTTACTTTAGCAAGAGAAATAGACATGCTGAACAAAAGTTGGCTTCAAAACGAAAGCTTTTGTTAAACAAAAATAAGGCAACTCAGATGTTCTGGGACTTTGCATAAATGGAACAGAATTCTCTTATCTTTGGGGTATAAAAGACCTGCTACACTAGAAGTCGGTTCAAGTCTTTTGGGTTCTTTTAAGAAGAAGTATGTCTAGACATTACACTGCAGTGACTGAAAATGAAGGATGCTGGAATTTAGCACTAGACCCTCAGCTCCCACTTACCTCTAGAAGGACTTGGCTAGCCTCCATTTCCTTAGCCTAAATCTTAGTTCTGCATCAGTTTCATGGTTATAATAATAGTACCTACCACCTAGGTTTGCGGTGTGAATTAGATGAGATACTGCACATAAAGTGCCTAGAGAGTGACTGGCCCACAGTAGGTACTCAGTAAATGCTGACTATTTATTCAATGAGTCAGTGCAAGGAAGACCTCTTGGGATGACTAGAAACAGATATCTTTGCATCGAAAGAGATATTTACTATCATTTTGGCAAACACTCATACAGATAAGCAATCAGGAAACCAGAGAAGTTAAGCAATTTGACAAAGGTCACCCAGCTATTTCTTGATGAACTTTTGAGTAGAACTTGGACTTCCTTAATGTCAGGCAACTTTCTTTCCCCTATCTTATATTGCTTCTCCTAGTATCTGATAGTTTATTAGCGCAGACTAAATATATTCTGTGGTTTACAGCTGGTTTTGTTGGCAACATTTTGGTGACTGTAGCCAAGTAAACAATGTTGTGGCAGTGTCAAAAACTCTAGAGATATGTATCTTTAACAGGTTTGACTTTTAAGCCCCTTTCCTGCTTTTAGAAATTTATCCTAAGGAAATAATATAAAATGAAAGGTTATAGGCAAAAAGATGTCTACTACTATATTCTTTGGAATACTGAAAAACTGGAAATAATCCACATGCCCAACAATAGGAGAGTGGTTAAATATGGCAAAACCATGAATTTTGGAACCATTTAAAAATTATGAAGACCACAAAGAAACAGAGAAAATATTTACTTTATTCTTCATCTCATTCCATAAGGAGGTAATTTAACACACAGAATGATAATGTATTTTTTATAATTAAAATCTATTAAAATTAAATGGATAAAACCCACAATATAAAATGGAAAAATAAAACGATTTGAGGAGTACTGGGATTGGGAATGACTTTCACTTTGAGTTCTCTTTATAATAAACAGACACAAAAAAGAATTGTTTAGAATGAACTAACTTCTTTTTTGGGACTGGGAAGAGTTCACAAGAGCCACGTGTCCTTTAATGCATCATAACACATAACCAAATGCAAGACACGAGGTCAGAACCCTCGTTATACACTGAACTCTGGGGGACACAGCAATACATACCAGTCCCTGGCCTCTCAGAACTTGCAAGCTGGTAGAGAAGACATGACATATACATGCATCCCGGCACTGCTCCACCTCCAAAATCTTTTTTTGTTTTTTGCGGTACGCGGGCCTCTCACTGTTGTAGCCTCTCCCATTGCGGAGCACAGGCTCCGGAAGCCCAGGCTCAGCGGCCATGGCTCACGGGCCCAGCCGCTCCACAGCATGTGGGATCCTCCCGGACCGGGGCACGAACCCGTGTCCCATGCATCGGCAGGTGGACTCTCAACCACTGCGCCACCAGGGAAGCCCCTCCAAAATCTTTAACATCCCATCTCATACCAGGGCTTTTCCCCTCCCAGCTTTCATACCACCTGCTCGTTAATTAACATCATTAGGACTGCCAGTCTGCTGGTCCCTATGCTCTCTTTTGGTCCCCCAGCTTTGTTTCATTTTTCTTTGCTATTCTCTTAAATACTAAGGCCTATCACTTAAGCCACCCGCTCCACAATAACTGCAGTATCTTAAGCCTTTATTTCCAATTCACCTGCACTGAAAGCCCCCATGTGCTGGATGTGTTCACTTGCCTTCTCCCAGCCTGGGTTGCATGACTCCTGTAGACGAAGCCACTCAACATCACTTCATATATCCCAGGCCAATTCCCTCTTCCCCTCCTCATAGACTTCCTTAGGCTCATGCTTTCCCTTCCCTGCCCCCCAATACCTTTTACTGCACAGAAAGAAATTCTTATGTGGGAACTTTCTCCCCTTGAGCCAAGACCAAAGCCCAGGTGCATTCTGCATCCATCCTTACTCCCTGTTTCAGAGGTGAGCTGACCCTGCACCTGCTCTCTGGACCCGGAGCCTCCTGCCTGCTCCTGCCTTTGGACCATCCATGAGCTTGTCGCCCCTCTCTTCAACCTTGCCTGAACTGTTATTTTTTCCCCTCAGAATAAACCCTTGCTGCCATCTATAAAGAAGCCTTTCCCTTGGGATACATACTCTTCTAAATGATTGCCACTTGCCTTTCTCCTGCCCCTCCCCCATACTTCTAAAAGGCATTGTCCTGCCTGGGCTGCCTCCACATCCTCTTTCCCTCACCTGAGACAGCCTGACTCCTCCCACCCCACCACCCAAATTGTTCCCACAAAAGTTAAATCCAATGGCACCTTTTCATTTCTTGTCTCACTAGAACCCTCAGCTGTGTTTCGCCCTGTAGACAATTCCTTGTCTTGAAATATTCTCTTCATTTGGCTTTTGGGACACTCTGGTGTGACCCTAGTTATCAGAATGAATAAATGAATGTCATCCAGGGAGGGGAGAGCTGGCAAGTCTCTCAGCTCAACAGGAGGGCTCACACTTCCGGGGAGTGGTGTCAGGGCAATTGTTAGACTTAAAATCCACTAGGTTAAGTTTGGAACCAAATTCCTTCCTAGGGACTAGTTCTGTGGACTCTATGTCAAGCCAACTAACTGATGACTCAATAATATAGGAGTGGATGGAACCCACCAAAATGATACAGAGAACTGTTTATTCTTTTATCTTCTTGAAAGAAAGGTGTAGTGGAGACTGGATCACACCATAGGAAGTTGTGGACAATGTTGGGATTTCCTCTCTTGGGATATGATTAAAAGTGAGGGAAGTGGAATTCGAGTCACCTGGGTCTCCCTCAGTATTCTCTAATAGCTAAAGCTTGCAATCTGCATTCATTCCATTCAACAAGATAGAATGAATTTTCTGTTATTAAAACAATATTACTTTTTAATTTTAGTATCGTTCTTGTAAAGTATAATTTGGTACTTGAGTATATGCTGTGTATTGTCTATTTTGATTCATCTTATTCCTAAGTAATATGTCCCCTATCAGACTGCAAGTGCCTTGAGATCAAGGGTCCTTTTTAATCTGTCTTCTGTCTTCTACCTTGCTTAGCTTAGGGCTAACACTTGAAAGATGCTTAAAAAAAAAAAAAAATCCCTGTTGTTTAATTTAGCAAGTATTTTAACTTTCCAGATTTCAATGGGTTTGATTAACTCCTGAATGCAATATATTATTCTAAGTGCAGAAGTGTAATATAGCAAATATTTAAGTTATTTGCATTTTAGGAGCGGGAAGAGAGACAGAAACACCTCAATACCTAAGGAGGATTTAGCACAAAGTTGAAATGGCCCGACACCCTCTTGTGTATATTGTACCAACCTAGATATAAAAGCCAGAATCGCAAGCAATGTTCAGAGCTATTTTGGGTTTCCTTTGCAGTAAGTCCTATAAAACCTTGTAGTTCACCTCCTTAGGCCCAAAGTCCCAACATCCTTGATTGTGGATAGCAGCTAGGTCTTTTGGGACCTTGGGTCGGACTTTTTTCCAGTCAGGCAAGTAATCTGAAAAGAAAAAGAAATCACATGTAGTCCAGTGCATTTTTCTCCTTGTGTGGTTTCTCCACCAGCTAGAGAGATATTTAAAGGCTCTGAACCTCCTGCCATCTTTAGTTCTCTTTTTTAAGTGTCATTTTTAGAGAACTTTCCACTTTTCTTAGTTATACAGCCAGATTGGGACACCTAGCCGGAAAACCATTTTCCCTTAAAAAAAAAAAAAATTCTAGAATTTGAATGCAGGCACGGCATTCCAAACCGATTTACCATAGTGCAGTCTCTTGGGCATTACAATTTGTGGCTGCAACTTGACTGAAAGGGGGCCCCTAAGTTAACCTACAAAGACAACAGGGTCCAGAGACACTTTTTTTCCACTTTCAGATAAAAGAGGATTAATTACCTGAAATCTTCAAGGCTCCAGGACGCACGGTGCAATCCCTCAGTGGAACTTTGTGCTGGAGGCTGCAGCTCCTACGATTTCGGGCAAGACTGGCCCAGGCACTCTAGTCACTTGGAAGGCGGAAGGGAAGGAAGTACCTGAGCAAGGTATGAGCCACTCAGAGGCATCCTGGGGCCGCCACTCACCTCGGGGAGGAGGAGCTGGAGTCCGGACCCACCCGGATCGAGAGGGAAAGCGAGCTCTGGGCCCGCCAGGTGAGGGAAGGAACGCCCGCCCGCTCACCTCCGAAGAGGCGGGGCGCGGCTCTCGATTACCCGCAGGGGCGGTGCTGGCCGATCACCTGGGCCGAGGCGGAACTGAAGGGTCCGGTCACTGCCCGGAGAACCTGTAACTAAGACTCACCTGTGCGGGGGTCGGAGGCGGGGCCGGGGCCAGAACTCACCTGAGCCGGTGGAAACCTGCCCTGGGGGTAGCCCCGGGTTCGCCCAGCGAGGAGGGGGAGGCGCCCCCGGCCGGCCCCATCCGAGCTCCCCTCCGTGGGTCCGCGCGGCCGCCATGACCTGGAGCGCCACCGCCCGGGGCGCCCACCAGCCCGACAACACCGCGTTCACTCAGCAGCGCCTCCCCGCCTGGCAGCCGCTGCTGTCAGCCAGCATCACGCTGCCGCTCTTCTTCTGCGCCGGCCTGGCCTTCATCGGCCTGGGCCTGGGCCTCTACTATTCCTCCAACGGCATCAAGGAGCTCGAGTACGACTACACCGGCGACCCGGGCACCGGCAACTGCTCGGTGTGCGCCGCCGCCGGCCAGGGCCGCGCGCCTCCGCCCCGCTGCTCGTGCGCCTGGTACTTCTCGCTGCCCGAGTTCTTCCAGGGCCCCGTGTACCTCTACTACGAGCTGACCAACTTCTACCAGAACAACCGGCGCTACGGCGTGTCCCGCGACGACGCGCAGCTGAGCGGGCTGCAGAGCGCGCTGCGCCACCCGGTCAACGAGTGCTACCCCTACCAGTACAGCGCGGCTGGCCTGCCCATCGCGCCCTGCGGCGCCATCGCCAACAGCCTCTTCAACGACTCCTTCTCGCTGTGGCACCAGCGCCTGCCGGGCGGGCCCTACGTCGAGGTGCCGCTCGACCGCACCGGCATCGCCTGGTGGACCGACTACCACGTCAAGTTCCGCAACCCGCCGCTGGTGAACGGCAGCCTGGCGTTGGCCTTCCAGGGTACCGCGCCCCCGCCCAGCTGGCACCGGCCGGTCTACGAGCTCAGCCCAGACCCGAACAACACCGGCTTCATCAACCAGGACTTCGTGGTATGGATGCGCACGGCGGCTCTGCCCACGTTCCGCAAGCTGTACGCGCGCATCCGTCAGGGCAACTACTCGGCCGGGCTGCCGCGGGGCACCTACCGCGTCAACATCACCTACAACTACCCGGTGCGCGTCTTCGGCGGCCACAAGCTCATCAACTTCAGCAGCATCTCGTGGATGGGCGGCAAGAATCCGTTCCTGGGCATCGCCTACTTGGTGGTCGGCTCCCTCTGCATCCTCACGGGATTTGTCATGCTGGTCGTCTACATTCGCTACCAGGACCAGAACGACGACGACGAGGACGACGAGTAATTCCTGCTTTCAGAGTACCCTTTCTGCTTCTTGCCAAAACGCTCTTGCAAGCTTCCTTTGGTTTCTCCCTCCCGACTGTCACCCAGTTCCAACTTCGCCTCACTTTGCCTCCAGTTGTGGATGAGGGGACCAGAGAGAGAGAGGAATTACACCCGATCGGGGGCCTCCAGACTCTTCTGGGGTGTTTGAACTGCTAGAGTGAGACATCCCTGCACATTTTCCCCATCTCCTTCACGAGCTGACACGTGAGGTTCTTTGAGAGAGGAAGGGACGGCTAGACGCCTCTCATTCAACCCCCATCTGGTGAAGAGATGTTAAGTAACTCATTCCAGATCTAGCAGCTGCTCATTGCCTCCTGACGCTGACTCTAGAGCTTTAACCGCTACAGTACAGTGGTTTTCTTTTTTCTTTTTGGGGGGGTGGGAGTGTAGAGAGGAAAGCCCTTAAATAACCAGCTGAGGCATGGAGGGGTGGGGGAGAACATATTGATTAAAAATGTAGGTAGTTTAGGAGGCCCCATCCCCAGAAATTCTGATACAATAAGGCTGCGGTGAGACCCTGGAAGCTGCGGTTTTAACAAACCCATCTGGAGATTCCTCCTGTATTCCCTCAAGTTTGGGAATCAGTGCCCTGAACCAGGGAGCAAGTAGGATAACTGCCTGTTTCCCTATTTCCTCAGGTGTCTGAAGCTGGGCCTGACACAATCACTGCGTCCAATTTTCCAGGGGGTCATTTGTTCCCAGGGGCAGTGACAAGCAGGTTTGGTCTAGCACTCCTTCTTGAACACAGGAAGCTCTCTACAATGTGCAGAATAAGTGAAAACAACTAGCTGGCATACAGATTTGCAGAGCAGGGTTTGTATTAATTCATTTGATATTTGAGTGTAAGAAATTAAAAGGTTTTTTGAGGGGGCAGGGTGGCCAGGTACTGTGTAGAAACTGGAAAATGCCAGGTCAGTTTGTACAGTTCAGAGGGAATGTTTTAACCTTAGAATCAGATAGCTGGAGGGGATCTTAGAGGGAAAGTGATTTCCCTAAAGTCATATCTGTGTCTCCTGACTCTGGACTCAGTCCTCTTTGTCATCTAAATGACTCTTTATGCTTAGAGAGAAAGGGCTACGTTCATACCTTTTCCCTTGGGTTTAAGAAAAAAAAATTTTAATCTATGTTCTCAGATGAACCATGTTTGTTTTTAGTAATATGTTTAAATGAATGCTAAGGAATATAGTCTTATGTAAACTAGAATCTTAAGAATTATTTGAACCTTTGAGATAATGTTAAACTCTGACTGCTCTAAAATCATTCTAATATATGTAAAATCATTCTAAGAAAATAGAATTTTAAAAACCCCTTTTATGGCAAAAGAACTTTAAAAAAGTGAGATCATCTTAACCAGTTTATTTGCCAAAAGCGGTTATTTGGTGTTCTGTCAGAATTCTCAGTGCCTGTTCTCTATTACGGCTACTTTCCAGTTACTACAATTTTTGCTCATGCCTATAAGGCAGTGCAATACCTTGAGGTATTTTTCTTAAGTAGTCAAAGCAATATTGAATTGTATTAAATAATTTACATTAATTTTATTTTACTCTTCTAGTCCTTTGAAAACTGATAGCCGATAGACAGCATGCATGTTCATTGACATCTGTCTCAGATCTTCTGGAACAGTCGTGATTTTAGAGATTCTGTCTCAGTATTTACATAAACCAAAAAATGTTTTATAATCCCAGTGTGCTGGCTTCCCAACTCCTGAATATAGCACAGTTTTACTGTCAGATTGTGTATTGTGATTTTAGGCTATGAATATATGATCAGATATATAGAGAGTAATTTTTATTTATTATGAATGTTTGATCGAGCAGCTCACTAGCCTAGCCCTTCTTTATGATGGATAAGAGAATTTACTACATTTTTTTACTACTTAGTTGAGAACAACCATGTATATTGCCATCACTTTTACAATAATCATTGTATTGCTATAAAAGTTTAAATGAGACTACAAAATTTAAGGTATTCTGATTAAATCAATGAATATGGTTCCAAGCCCTATTTATTCTCCGGGTTTTTGAAAGAGAATAAAGGTTATGTTTGTGTTGCCTTTTTTATCGCACTTGCTTAATTCTTTTGAACTATGATCTTAAAGGCACAAACGTTAAAAAAGGTACCAACTAGCAACCACTTTGCTCATTTGTTATTAGCAGATTTATAATGCAGAAAGAAAATCATCTTTCATAATAAAGCTCACAGTGAACTCAATCTTTCAGTGTTAACTTCCCAATGCAGAATTTGAGCTTATATCAACATCAACATGTAGTACAAATCAGATGATCTTCAACTATTGTTTGAATTTGGTAAAATTTGGTCAATTTCTAAAATATTTTAGTTTATTTATTTATTTTTGCCTGTGTTGGGTCTTTGTTGCTGGGCTCTCTCTAGTTGCAGTGAGCATAGGCTACTCTTAGTTGCGGTGTGCAGGCTTCTAATTGCGGTGGCTTCTCTTGTGGAGCACAGGCTCTAGGAGCACAGGCTTCAGTAGTTGTGGCTGGCGGGCTCTAGAGCACAGGCTCAGTAGTTGTGGCACACGGGCTTGGTTGCTCCGCGGCATGTGGGATCTTCCCGGACCAGGGCTCGAACTCGTGTCCCCTGCATTGGCAGGTGGATTCTTAACCACTGCACCACCAGGGAAGCCCCGTGGTCAATTTTTGATAATATTTAGCACTAAAAGTTACTAAAGAATGTGATTGCAGTAATCTTCTCCATTTCTGCATTTTACTCAAATTCTAAATTGCAATTATTTGTTGGGTATTTTGGACTGCAACGCCTCAGAAACTTTAAAAACAAAACATTCTCCTGCGCTGTAGCATTTTGTTTGGTATCTCAGCATTTTAGCTGGACTTGAATTCTCATGTTGTCCAGTAAAGGCTACCTAGCTAGAGCTATGTCATCTGGAATGAGACAGAAAAGAGTGAACCTCAACAATTGGACTGGAAATGTGCTTTGATCTACCTTGTAAACCACAAACAAAAGAGAAACTAATTAATGTGGTTGGCAGGAACTCCCAAAACAGAATAATATAACAAGAAAGATTTTCCAAGAATCTCCAGAATCAAATCAACTAAACAATTCACAGACTATACAGTTGTTACAAATCAGAGACAGAATAATAGTCTGAGATTTCCTTTAGTAACAAATATCACTTCACACTATATAACCACAACCCCTTCTGCCTTGTGGTGTCTGTGCTCTCTTCCTGTCATTGGGGATCTCAACAATCTTGACTAAGATCTCAAAGAGTTATTGGTAGAGCTGCAGTGTAATCAATTCCTTATACGCCCCTGGGTATAAGTCATCAGTTACGGTAATAATAGTAAATTCCCCCTTCCTTTATTTTTATCGGGCATTTCTTTGCATTCTAGTTTTTTTTTTTTTTTCCTACAGATAAAACATAGCTGACTGATTTCGACGACAAAATTAAAATTTTTTTAACTTCAGTTTTTTTCCCCCAGGAGAATTTCTCGTAATTTCCCTCCAACAAAAGCAGAGTCATTTATAAAGTGTCATTGAGAGAGTCTTAGTGAATCTGACTGAAACACATTAAGGTCCCTGAGAGATCTTATCTGAGAGTAGCATCTTGTGTAAAGAATTTGCAAAAATCGCAAACACCGTTGACTCTATGTATACCACCATCCCCCATGATTTATCTGATAAGACTAACAACATGTATTCAGGGAAAAATACTTCCCCACTGGTTTGTCACCTGGCATTATGACTCTCACCTTTAGTGGTAATGGTGTAAATTAGTTCACCACAGCAAGGTGGCATTCCTTTATTCCTGCACTTGACTGAGCAGCTCACCATAGGACAAAGGAAGATCCTGAGGCAGTGAAACCCAACATAGACTGGGGGTGTGGAGGGAGAGGAGAGGGGAAATAAAAAAGAAAGGTGAAGTCTGGAGCGTGACGCATTTTTGTGGGCCAGCAAGTTGTCCAGAAGGGGGAGACTTGGCCACAAAGGGAGCCCACTGCAGAGGGCAGAGCTCACCAGCGGACTCATTGATGATAAGGCCTTTGAGAAATTTACTAAGTGGATGGTAGCTCACCTTCTGAACCTCTCAGCTTGTCTTTTTGATCAATTTCAGTATGATTTATCTTTTTCCTTAGAAGCAAAAGGTATTACTGTCAAGAACCTCCTCTAATAGCCTTGCTCTCCACATTGGAGCTCTTAACTAAATTCCCATTAAAGTGGCTGAAACCTAACATTACTGATGAAAACTGTAAGTGATGTGTCATTAATAATGATACTTTGTTCTTCTAAAAGGCCTTTGTTCTGAAAGTCCAAGGTGCTTAACACTATGTGGTCTCATTAATCTTAGCCATCAAAATGCATGAGCTTTTAGAAAGTCATCAAGACTAATGAGGGAGAAATAGATTCCCTTCTATTTTGCTCAGTTTTGTTTGGAACTCTACAAAAGTAGGCAGTCTTCTACAACAAAAACACAACCTCTGGATGTGGCAGTGATATCATTTCAATGATTTCAATCACTTGAGTATTCTCAAAGGAAGACTTAAGTCTTGTTATGATTTTAATAAGTAAAAGACATATCCCATTTTTGTTAAAGAATCCAAAATGAGAGCTGCATCACTTCCTATTCATAGCAAATGACAGAATGGAAAACACTTTTTACCCTTCCCTTTTTGTTTTTACCTACAGGGCTTTAGGGGTGAAGACTTACCTTGTTACATCAAGGTAGTTTGCAAATAACCGAATGATGGTATCTTTCATACCATTAGGGGGCAAATTAGCTCATTTATTCACTTTCATGAATCTTTAAAAACACTGACCATCATATATATAAATGGCATAATCTCTATCTTCAACCCTAACTTCTCTCCAAACTCACACGTCCAGCTGCCTCTGGGACACACTTAAATGTCCTACAAATAACATAAGCTCCACGTGGTCAGCATGAAACCCATTGACCTTTCCTCCAAACCCATTCTTCCAAGAATAGTCCCAGGTGCTGAAAATGACTCATCTGTCCCACTCAAGCATCCAAGCCCCAAACCCGAACAACCTCCTTGACTCCTCCCTCTGTTTCTTCCCACATCCAACTGGTTATCAGATCTTGTTGCTTCCAGATCCCAAATGCACTTTCAATCAGGTCTCTCTTTGTCACTGCCCTGGCCCAGGACTCTGTTATTTTCCATCTGG